GAGAGTAATTGAGAAAGAATCTACAGTTTAAAAAGAAACAAACGACGCAATATTGTAGAAGGAATGTAAGAAGCAGGTAGAGGGGAAATGAAAGAGGTTAACGAACAGGTAGGGAGTACAGGGTTGGAGGTAAATAACCTGTCCGATTTTTTTGCCAATAAGATAGCCCCGCTGCTCAAGAGCGTTCACCTCCGAATTTCGGGGGCTGAGTTGCGTGGCCATGCCAGTGGATCTTCATTGGACTTCGGATCCTGATAACAGATAACTGATTCTTTTTTCTTTCTTCTTCTTTGCACACCTTTCTTCTTCTTCCGTTCCTTTACACCTAAAACTTACTTCTTTTTTATTCTATATCGCTGACAAGTTTTCCCCCTTTGAAACGTCTACCCGCACCTTCCTTGAACGTGATTTGATCAATTTTGTTGTTAGAGATCTGCAATTCGCGCTCCGCAAGGAGCCGAAGGACGCCTCGCTGAATATCACGTCGATGAACCCGAGTCGGGGAACCGTTCTGTCATTTCAAATGGCTGCGTGCACTAGAATTTTGAGCGACACCAGCTTGTACCTGGTACGGAACGGGGCAGAGGAAAAGATCCGTGTCTCATTCGAACACAGCCATTATATTTAAAAACAACAAACGATCGATTCGCGAGTGCGATTTCGCCATACTTAGATTCGATTTTAAAGCATATTCACGTCGTACATAATACATTTAAAAACACACGGTATATTTTATAAATATATTATATTTTTTTTTCTAATTCGATTAATAGGTTAAGACATGATTAAAAATTAAGATACCTTTCATTTTTGCGATGTGTCATTCATATTTTTGATTTGAAATAAATCAATATTTATATTTATAGATGTTTTTTATTAAATGGTATTATACATTGCGTAAAAATAAATTACGCAGCTGGATCGTCACCCTTAGTAGTACGTGTGTAAATTAACTGTGCATGATGCTGTACAACTTGTTTAATAAGTCCCTTTTGTTGCAATTCAATCAATGCTCTCCTTGCAAGTGATCCACGAATCTTTAACCTTTCACTAACAATGGATGGCGTGATCAATTTATATTGTGGTACTTCCTTCAGCAATTTTTCATATGTGCTTTTATCAAACAATACTTGATTGTTTAACTTGTCACGTACTTTTCCTTTGGACCACTTCTACGATAAAAAAAATAAATAAAAAATGTAAAGTATATCTATTCACGTTTATCTACTTAAATTTATTTATTATATTATATATATATCAGGCTCATTAAATCAGCTTTTTACTTCCATGATTTATCAAGCTTATAAATATTCATCACATAATATTTTATTTTATAAAGTTATAAGTATAAGTTATTATTCTGATAAATAAATATCTATCATAACTATCTGCAATAACTATGATACTAACCTTTTTCTTGGCTTTGCCACCAGATCCTCCTTCTTTTTTCTTTTGTGTTTTTTGTGGTTGTTTTGAAGATCCCTTTGTATCCTTTTTAGGCGGCTGAAACATTAAATGAAATTAGAACAAAAATATTCATAAAAAAATAAATACCACAATCAAATAATATATATTGATCAGGCTCATTAAATCAATATTATACTATCATGAATTTAATCAAGAATGAGTTTTTCATCACAATAATTAATTAAAGAAAATATTAATTCGTAAATAATTATTTTGTCAATAATTTTTCACAATGTCAACAAAACATTGAGACAACAAAAGAAGTTATGATTTTTTAATGAAAACAATATTTTTTATTATATATAATGCATAAAAATTAATATAATTCTATAAAACTAACGAAAACATACTTTAATTGAATGTAATGATATTCAAATAAGATATCTTTTTTGCATACACGTATACACCATGTGGATGAAATTATCGAGAAAGGTTATCTACTTGATATATAAAATTCATATAAAACTTGTAAATTAATTCTTGAAATAATATCACTGCACTACATAGAAAAGTAATTTTTATTACGAAACTTTTAAGATAAATATTATTAAAACATAATTAAAACATTTCTTTCACAAATACTCACCATGATGGCTGTCGACTATGAAAGAAAAGGGAAGTGCGTATATCGCCATTTTGAATATTCGTTACATTCAGCGCTATCTACAATTCACTACATTAATAAATATTATTTCTAAAAGAATCAAAAATTTAAAAAATGACATATTAATAGTTAAATAAATAGTTATTTGACTAAAATTATTTTTTATATTATAAAATTGTTGGAATGAATTCGTATAATGCAATACACGTGTTTCGAATAACCATGAATCAGACTGTCAGTCACTCAGGAGTGGCTGTAGCGTGTGAAGCATGGCGCTACGCTGTGTGTTTTTGAGTCCCGGTTTTTCACATCTTTGACCCGTTTACAAAATGTATTCACGTTAAGAATATCGTTCGGTATAATTTAATCAATCACAAACATTTCTTTATATTTACTTTTATACGAAAAGGTAATTTATTTTTTTTTTGATCATTATTTTTATATAAGGTTAAGATACCTTTCACTTATTGCGACGTGTCATATGTGTTTTTATTCTACGTGTATTAATATTGAACGAATATTGATGAAATAGTTTAATAACGTGACAATTAATCTCAGATTAAAACTGATTTATAATATATATATATACAATAGTTACCGATTAACAGATATTAACAGATAAGTGAGGTTATCGTTAATCAGTTTTATGTTTGTTATATTCTTAACATATTTTTGGTCTTATAATATGAATATTTTTCTTGATATACAAGATTAATATTTAAATGTTTGCATTAATATGTATTTGTATTAATATGCAAATATAAATATAATTAAAATTTTAATTTATAAAAATTGAATTTTAGATAAACATATGAAAAGTTTTAATATAATAAAAAATTACTTTTTATTTTTAGGATAAACTTCATTACTGAAACAACCTTGTGCTTATGAAAATGCTTCCTCTTTCACACAAAGATTCAAGAAACCTTGGCAGTAGAATAAAGGAGAAATTATTAGGATGGAAACGTTTGATATTTTCTGACAAAAATACTAGAAATTTATTTTTATTTCTTTTATTGAATTTATCCTTTGCCTGCATTGAATTAATGTATGGAATATGGACAAACAGCTTGGGTTTAATATCAGATAGTTTCCATATGTTCTTTGATTGTACTGGCTTATTATTTGGTTTGGCTGCATCAGTAATTACAAAGTGGAGAGCAAATGAACGATATTCTTATGGCTATGTCAGAGCAGAAGTTTTAGGAGGATTTGTCAATGCTCTGCTTTTATTCTTTATCGCTCTTTTCATTATGTCTGAAGCTGTGGAAAGAGCCATTGAACCTCCAGAGATTAAACACGAAAGACTTTTGGTTGTGTCCATTATGGGATTAATAGTCAATTTAGTAGGAATGTATGTATTTCGTCATGGACATGGACATAGTCATGGAATGGGACATGGTCATTCCCATTCCCATTCCCATGGAAGTCATACACAATCTCATTTAAATCACAGTCATAGTCATGATCATCATGATATAGAAATTGATCCTTCCTTCAGTGGTACAAATTCTCAGATTATGAAAGGAGTTTTCTTACATATCTTAGCAGATACTCTTGGATCTGTAGGTGTAATTATATCAGCAGTACTGATGCGTCTATTTGGTTGGTTTATAGCTGATCCAATTTGTTCTATGCTGATATCAGTATTGATAGTTTTAAGTGTGCTTTCTTTAATGAAAGATTCATGGGAAATTTTAATGCAAAGACAACCAGCTGCATTGGATCATATTTTACCACAGTGTTATAACAAAGTGACACAATTAGCTGGAGTATATAGTGTGCAAGAACCACATTTCTGGACACTTTGTTCAGATGTGTATGTTGGGTGCTTGAAATTGGAAGTTGCCAGAACAGTAGAGCCTAAATATGTTGTAGCACACACTCAGATGATTTTTCAAGCTGCTGGAGTAAGGCATTTAACTGTTCAATTAGATTATGCACCTATGTGATCTATGAAAACTATGCATGTCATTAAGTGTTCATACAAGTGCTCCAAAACTGTATTTATTTGTGGAGTTTGTCAGAAACAAGCAAGAAATATTGCACTTGTGCAAAATATTTTTGCCATTTTAAAATTGTGCAGATATTTTGTTCTAAGTAATAGTGAATATCACCTTGGGTTGCAGATTATTTAAAAATCTGTTTAAATCTTTTAAAAAAAGTGAAAAGACTTACCAGAACTTATATGACATAGGATCCTATTAAGAGAATAGGTCTTATGATCAAGCTAATGCATTTTTGACTTGTCCATCACCAATAAAAATCATTGATTTCATTTCTTTCTAATCTTATTGTTGTAAATATAGATATTTGTTCATCTATAGTTAATGATATATTTATATATATATATATCATTATTTCATGAAATTATAGTTTATTTTTATTTACAACAACTTTGGTCCTGTACTATGTATTGTACAAAATCTTAAATAATGTTTTATATTATCTACAGAAATCTTTATATTATAATGCATTTTAAAATATTGAAGATACATCAAATTATTACATTTTTTACCTTTATAATTGAAGCCACAATTATAAAAATGTTTTTACCTTACCTTTATTATTGCATTATTTTTTGTATAAAATATCTATTTACAAAAAAAATTCAAACTTCATGGTCAAATTTGTGCAAAACAAAAGAAAATCATCAAATTATATTATAAGCAGTTGTAGACTGCTAGTCATTATTATACAGAAAATGTGAAATATACGTTATATATAAATATAACTTTATAAAGTGTAATATATAAAACAATATTCTTATGTTGAAATTGTGCTTTCCTTAATAAATTGTACTTTTGACGTACTGTCCACATTAAGTGGATTTATCTAATCGATATTAAATAAATAATTAATACGTACAAGATCGTTTTATGGCAATATACATATATTTATATTAACGAATTATCATTATTATTGATGAATATTCTTTAAACAAATTGAATGATGTCAAAATATGCTATAAGAAGTTTTTTAAAATTTTAATAGCAATGGAATTTTCTTATCACTTCATTTAAAGTAGGAAGCGATTGAAATGAAATAAAATGTTTTATAGAGAAAGCATGGTCTAACATATGCACTTAGTGCAAAATGTCAGCCAAAATTTTTCATCGTTTTTTATTAATGCTGTAATACATTGTTCAAGACAAATTACGAAGTTAGAATTAACGCCAGATTTGTAAACATAAATTTTAAGCACGACCAGGACATTCCATTATAGTCAAGGTATATTACTTGTATATTTGAGATTGTGATGATATAGGCCAAAATGTAGATATCGATAGAATGAAATGAAACAATTAGAATATTTAGTGATAATGTAGAGTAATTTTTCTATCGAATTGCTGTACCATCGTACACTGAAATGATCGAATTATTTGCAGTTCTATCCGATGCAATTACTTCTACGAAGAGCGATGTAATTTCCGAGATGAAAGTCAACATTGTTATGTTTTATTAACATGATTGTATAAATAAAAAATTCAGAAGAGTAATCTTCTAAAATGTAAATAATAAAGAAAAGTGCTTATAATAATTTTCGACTTCCACATTCATACAAAGTCCTCTTATAGATAATATCTTCTTATAAAATAGAAAATTTATCAAGATCATGTACATATGTATATATTTTATCGATATGGGAAATCATCTTTACAACAAATTTTCAAACACATATTACATTTATTTGAAGGATATGTATACACATATAAATACATAAATATTTATAATAAAATTACTGAAACTGATTCCAGACGATAAAGCGATCTTGAACGCGTGGACAATGTACTTACGCGCGTATGGTGTCAGCTTCAGTCTCTCACCGCTTGAATTAGTAGTTTAAATGGCCTCACAAAATTTGCAGATCGTATCTTTGATGCCTTCTATCTTTTGCGGTGTCTTATGTACATAGCAAACTATCAAAAATGAAAAATCGTGTGGAACTTTTGTCCCTGCGAGGCTATACCTGCCTATCTAAAGTGGACCGTAAAAGGGAATCAAAAATTACGTTTTCTCACTAATAGTACAAAAAAATCGAACGAACACCGTGGAATTGCTTTTTTGCATAAAGCTGAACAAAAGCTGATCGAACTTACTCGTTGGTTTGTTTCGCGTATGATTAAACGTATTTTTTTTCCTTACTTTCTTTTTAATCATTATTTTCATTTCTTCAAGGTATATGGCAGTATCGTATTTCTGCTTTTTTATTGGCAAAGGGACAGCAGAAAATCACACATTGCGTTTTCATTCGGCGATAGATGGATAGAAATCGTCGTATCGCGCTTATTCTAAAAAATAACAAATTCCTGATATAATATCGATACTCGCGAATAAAATCTACAATTACGATTTGGCAGTTGAGTGTCGCACGTTCTCTTTTACTCGCAAAAAGTAAGTATTTTTTGTTGCTCTTTTATTTCGTTCTTCATTCCTTATTATTATACAATAGCCATTATTTTCTAATTTAATGTGTACAATAGAATTCAAAATTCGAGGACGTCTCTCTTTTACTCTCTGGATACGTATTTTTTTCTTTTCTACCCACTACTATAGAATATAATTTATAAAATTTCTTCAAATTTCCAACAACACGCCATCCGGTAAAGCCATTTCACTCATGGATCGTCGATTGTAATTCAATCGATCGTAACATTTAATAATCATGATCAGAATATACTAGTAATCGTAGGAATAATAATAATAATCAATAATGACAATAATAATAATATATTACTCTGAATCATATTTTACAGTCCATCTAACAACAACGAACGTATCTAGTTGCAACAGCCTCTTTTTTATTATTATTTTTTTTTCTTTTTTTATTTTTTAAATATCTTTCGATAATACGTATGCGTATGTATAATTGGTCTTGCTAAAATTTTTATCTCTTTTATTCTTTCTCGTTGAAAGAATATATATATATATATTTTTTTACCCATCCTTCTGTACGATTTCGACATTTTTCTGCGTATAACGGACCATCGAGAATAATGCTCGAGCTAATAATGCTACGATCTATGGATCTATATCGTTAGGAAAGTGATGACGCGCAGAAAAGGAAATCACAGTAAGACGAAAATCCACAAAGTGTTGGCTTCATTCCCTTCTTCCTCTCCTTCTTCACGCCTTTCTTCCTCGTGTGAGTACTCTTCTTATTCTACATGCCTCTTACGGCTAACACCGTCTATCTCGTATCTTTCTAAAACTACGTTATTCTCATCCTAAAACATTCTCTTAGCCTCTCTCTCTTTCCAAGATCCGTTTCACCGGATCATTTACGGAATCACGTGCAACCAATCATCCCTCTCCCCCACTTCGAACGTTTCCCATCTCTATATTTTCATTCATCTACGGATCAAATTCCAATCGTTATTTTTCTACGGCCATATTCTTCCGTGATCGAACAATTACGAAATTTCCATGTCGTTGACAACCAAGAATTCTCCAACCGAATCTTCACTTCTTTTTACCTTTGCTACTCTTCTGGACCTTGGTGATCTTCAGCCTGCAGTTCGACCCACCGGTGTACACCACTTCCGCCCTTCCACCCTCCTCTATCGCGGCGACCAAAGCTTTCACCGACTTTACGTGCACGTCTTTGGCACTGATCTCCAACGAGGTGCCCGGAAACCGATCTCTAACACATTTTCCGATACTGGAAGCCTGCGATTCCGTGAGATCCACTCCATCCAGACAGAGCCACGTCAAGTACTGTAGATGCGTCAGGATCGTTTGCACGAATACGTGTTCCATTTGCACCTTCTTCGCGCTGTCGGTCACGATCAATCCATTCGCCTTTAAGAAGCTCAGGTTGCACAGCTTCAGATACTTGGCTATCTGCCTCATCGTCTTCTCGCTGTCCTCCAACGTGATCCGCCAAAAGTTAATCCTCAGGGACTGTAGATTCTTGAAGTGAGAGGAGAAGCAGGCGAAGAACTGTTGGAGGATTTTGTCATCGATGAACAGCAATGATCCGCTACTGCCCCCTATGGTCGATTTGTCCAACGAGAGATCGAGCTCGCTGAGGGCTGTGAAACCGGCGAGGAATGGCAAAAGAAGCGGCCCTCGAAGCGCCAAACGATCGTTCACTGTCACCTGAAATCAGAGATAATTATGCATCACCTTCTGTTTCTATCTTTCTATTTCTCTTTCAGAAAAAAAGTATCGAGTAACGAAGACCTAAGAAACGAGAATTTCGCGGGGATCGAATTCGATCGTCATAGAAATAGGAATAGGCGAGCAGAAAATTCATCTAGGATCCGCCTTAAGGAAGTGCGTTGTTTACCAAGGTTTTACGTAACGAATCGAAGAGCGTTAATATCGATAGTCGGATTTCTACTTCGTAACCGAGCACTCGAGACCGGTTTCCTCAACAGGACGAATAATCTATCTACGTGGTTTGGACGGCCGCTGGTCGCAAACCGCAAACGAATCATCGTCGGCCTCGAATTACGAATCGACCGATTCGAGGGCTGGAGTGAAGTGTCTCGAATGTGCGCATCGAATCCTTCGGGAACTCGATACGTCGACACGACTTCTCGTTGAACGTGACGCATCGTTACCTCGCATCGTTCCACTAGGTATACGAATATTTATCGGTGAGATCCTCGAACGATCCCCTTTGAGAATGGAATTGGAATAGTCGCTTACGAAATGTCTTAGGTAGGTTGAACATTTCGATATTACGGTCCAATTAGCCTCTCTATTCACGGCACAAAGGGAGCCACTTGATTTTGACTCTCGTCAAACATGGTCGCTGATCTGATTCGTCGTGATGGTCAAAAACTCGGCTCAGAGAGAAAGTCGGCTAGGATGAAACTGGGCTAGGATACTTTTCATCCGGGATTACTTACTTGAAAACCGGCCAGCCTGAGAAATACAATGGCGGGACAGGCGGGAGGAGGCGCAGCTCTGAGCAACTCCGCTCCTGCATCGTCCCTACGACCTAATCTCGCCAAAGGACCCTCGTGGACGGCCAGATGTAGCCGGGCGTTGCACAGGCTCAACTCGCGGACGCTCGTGTATCTGAGCAGCTCGGAAAACACCGCCAGACTGTCCGATTCCTGCAACATTCGTGGTATTTTTCTTCTTTTTTATGTTTATTTTGATTAAAATTTGGAGAAATTCAATATATTTGATAGTTAATATTTATGCATTTATAGAAAATTTGAATATACAGAGAATACATGTGCAAAAAAGATACAAAAATCCAGGATAGTTACTTAAATTCTATTTTCTTTAATTGATATTCATAAAAATACAGTTATATAGAAGGAATATCGTTTCTTAAGAAATAATTTCTTGACAAAAGTTTAGAAGATATTTAATATAATATAGATAATATAGAAGGCTTAGAAATGACATTTTTTGAAAACAACTTATAATTCAAAAATCTCTTTATTCAAATTTCCAATTGATGAATCAATTTGAAAACTTAAGCAATAAAGAGTTAAAGTTTCTTGAAGAATTAAATCATTAAAATATCTTAATTAATTTTCCACATAAAATAAACAACGACTTCCAAATGAATTTTAAATAATTTCGTCAATACCATATAAATTAAATGACGTCGTAAAATAAATTTACACGCCTATACTTAAAATTTCAAAAATCTAGATAAAATTTGTTAATACGTTATTAATTAATTTATCGCATTATCGGATTGATCCAACAAATTAACCCTATTTAATTATCCAGAGAATATCTAAGTCAGGTCTCGAAGATCCTTTGATCGCTTCGCCCTCCATTATTAATGCGCGTTTCCCGCGCTAAGCGAAGAAAGTGATTCTCCCTAGCGTCGCGACGTCGAAATCTCTCGCGGTATTACATTATCCCTGCAATGAGACGGGAACAAAGCGACGTGTGCGACGTGGAACAATGGATGGTGGCGAGATTACAGGATCGCGTGCGTCGAAGCTGCATCGATAAAGCCAAAGCTAACAAGGCTACGACTAATCTCGAAATCGAGTTTGCGAATCGAGTTGCGGAGTCGCTTTGCCTCCGTAAACTATTCGTTTGCCTCGAATGGAACGCATAATGCGATCAGTCCACGAAAGTAAGTCCACGAGAGGACCACGAGACCGGAAATGGAAGATGGAAGCCGTAGCAGTAAAATCTCGAGACCGACGATCCTCTCGTTTCCTTTGAAACGCGAACTTTCCTCAGGATCTATCCCATACAACGAAATAGCGTGACCCAATTAGAATCGTCACGGATCCGGATAGTTGAGCGACACGATATCGATTTCTCGTTCGAATCGATCACGAGATTCGCAAGCCTCGTTTTAACTCGCGAGGGCCACGCTCTTCCATCGCGATGGAGACGCGGATGTGCGTAACGGAATCGTGATCACCCCTCTGGGATCTCGCGTGATTCGTGGAAACCGGGCACGAAGGGGCGAGCAACGAGAAAGGCAGTTTTGATGGAAAATTGCGTTCCGAATCAGGAGGGAATCGTGGCCACGATTGAAACAATCGACATTCCACCAGAGATTTGGGGTTACGAGCCGAAGTTCGTAACGTTTGTAGATAGAGC